AAAAGGGTACAATCACCAGTCAGGGGACCTAAAGAAAGCCTACTTTAGCCTAGCCCCTAAACCCTAAAACCGAAACCTGAAATGCGACAGCGCCCTAAATCTCCGAAGCTGTAAACCCGTCACTGAGATCCTCAGGCGGTACGTGCCAAGCCACGGCCGCAAGTCCGCACATCCCACACCACAACTAATATGGGAGGTTCCGAAAATTAGGGGTACCTTATTTTGGGGTCCTTATAATAAGGATCCTACTATTTAGGATACTATATTAGGGTCCCTTATTTTCGGAAACTCCCATATACCAAAACCTCTGAACCAACATCATCGTCAAACCTACGAGCCTTCAGTCGAAGAAACCCTAAGCCGGTAGTGCTGGACCCGGATCTATACCCCGCTTAGAACCATAATAAAACCAATGTATTTATAAAGATTCTCTTGGGATTTATATGAACAAAAATAAAAAATAATCCCTAAGGAGACTGTAGTGATCTTACAGCAGAAGATGACATGCAACCCAGTCTGGAGCCTTGTACAAGCAGCTGGGAGGTCTCGGGCTCTGCGGTATCCACCAATCGAGACCATGATCTGCTGTCCTTCTGCGACTTGGGGTGGTTGGTTTAGGGTTTAGGGTTTAGGGTCCAGTTTTGGGTACCCCAAATATTAGGTGCCGTATTATACGAAGGACCCAAGCAGGGACCCGAATATTGACAACTACCCACTTGAAGATGGTGAATGGAGTCTGAGGCTTACACTGACCTTCCCAGTGTCCCGTTCATAAATCAGAATACCCCCTTTGCCTGTTCCTGAGTTTCTTAGTTGTTGAGTTCATAAGCACCAAAAAATGTACACTTTTAGTTTTATTCTGGGTGATATTGTACCAAAAGTGTAAAGTGTATCCACTCAGCTACTAAGGTTTTAACACGGGGAGCCCGAAGCTCTGCAGCTTTCTGCCCTGGTCAAAACCGGGACTGGATACAGTTCGAGAGAATTTCAAACTACCTAAAAGCAGCCGTTTCTTAAATGCCCCGAATACTCCACTCCGAATGGCTTTGGGGACCACCTCGAAGAGTATTGTGCGATGTTTGCTCGTCAAATTCTTCCCGAGGCCTTCATAGAAGCGGAGGATGGTGGTTCTGGGAGTATCGAATTGGGGATTCGAGCTTAAAAGGGTCTTAGGGTTTACATGGGAGTTTCCGGAAATAGGGGACCCTAATATAGCACCCTAAATAGTAGGATCCTTATTATAAGGACCACCAGATAAGGCACCCCTAATTTTCGGAAACTCCCACATGGAGGAAGGCATCATAAGACGGCGTGTTGCAGACCCCAGTCCATCGGACTTCATATTTCTCCACGACTCGTTGAACACCGGCGACACCCAAACCCCTGGAGCCCTGAACCCTAAAACAACAAGCCCCAAAACCCTAAACCGTTCGCTCACCTGCCGCAATTGCAGGCAAAAATCTGTGCTGGGACTGCCGACCGCCGACACATTCCCAAGCACAGCTACAACCTGCAGTGGCACAGGTTTAGGGTTTTGGGTTTTGGGTCTAGGGGCTGGGACTAACATAGAGAGCTGAACATGTTTATTACGGCTTTGGGGCATACTGTAGCAATAAGAAAAGAGGAACATCAAAGGGAATTATTGGTGTTGAGTCAAATTCCCTCTACCCCAAACCCTAGACCCTCATGAGCCAAAGCTTTATGAGGCACCCGAAGCCTGAACCAAAACCCTAAGGGTCCAAGCACTCCCTTGTCCGGGACTCTGGGTCCTGCTTGGGCACCGAAATCCATAAGTATGCACTACTTGGACCCGTAGGGCCTTAGGGCAAGTCGAATCAAGGGGCCTTAATACTTAGAATAGGGTCTTGGGGGTCCCAATTTTTTTTACTAGAATCTACTCTAGTTATTCATGCCTCTACGCTCGGAACTTCGGGCAAATGCGTTGGCTCCCAGCGGCTAGGAATACACCTCAAGTCCTGATAGACTGAATGATCCCATCGAGATCTAAGCTCCCTAAAATAGGGGCCTTAAAAATTAAATAGGGTTCCGGGGCTACGTTTTTATACGAATATAATAAGGAGCCGCAAAAAACAGTGTTGGTAATTAATGAGGCCCCTGTATATGTTCCACGGAGTTTGGGAATGCTTGGCCAGAGGTCGCGCGATGCCCTCCAACTTCTTAAAATCCTAAACTTTGATATTCGCCCTCCAACTTCTTAAAACCTAAACTTTGATAAAGCCTCAACCCGAAGTAGGAGCATACCATCTCCGGCCCAGCCATCCGTTGACAGGATGTGCTTCGTATCAAAAACATCATCCAACCAACTAAGAGCTCCGCGTTGGGCACGTCCGAATCACGGTTTAGGGTTTAGGGCTTAGGGGGTTTAGGGTTTAAAAAGCCCTAGCGAACCTGAAGAAAGCCTATTGAAAATTGAGAAAACACCCTGCAAAGACCCGCTTAAGCCGGACCTTATGTTCATCATGACGAGACCCAAGCCCGTTAAGACACTCTACTACAACCGAGGAAAGCCTTGCAACACCAGCTCAAGTCGCACCGTGCTCACCGAAAAATTAAAAGAGCAAACACTCAACCCTGAACCCGATACCCTGCATGTTTGAACCCCTACATAGAAGCTGAGCCCACCTTGTTCACCAAAAAATGCTGAAAACCCTGAACCCTAAACCTTAAACCCCTAAACTCTAACCCCTAAACTCTGAACCCCTAAACCCCTAACCGTATAAACCCCTAAACTCTGAACCCCTAAACCCCAGACCCTATAAACCCCTAAACTCTGAACCCCTAAACCCTAAACCCTGTAAACCCCTAAACTCTGAACCCCAAACCCCTAACCCTGTAAACCCCTAAACTCTAAACCTTGGGTAAGGCCCCACTCAGTAATAGTTGAATCATTTTCATAATATAGATATATTAGGACCTTAATAGTAGCCCTATCATAGACTCTTACTGTAAGGAGCCGCACCTAATCTAAACCCCTAAACCCGCAAGCCACCTTGTTCACCAAAAACAGGCCCTCGACCATGATCACCGTGATCGACTGCTCATCTCCCCAGAGCACAATCTCGGCCTGGGGTTATAGGGCTCTATAAGGATTACAATAATGAGTGCTATGAAAGCCGTTTAGTACTTTTAAGGATTCCTTTGAGAGCTCATTCCCATAAGCATGCTATCGTCTGTATGTTTAAATAGAAAATATATTAGGATTTAAAGAAGATGTGCTGTAGAAGGCTAAAAAAAAGCTTATGCAGGCTTTGCCCACAGTTTTTAGCTTACAGTTGAATGCATGCCGATTATGTTGTCCATCGTATTTCCGGACTGCGGATGTTGCCGATGGTATTAGGAACTGCTGATGGGCAAACTCCTGCATGGGCCTATATACCTAAAGTATGGGAATTATGGTACCATACCATACTTAGGGTAATGCAGGATTTTGTCCATCCACTGTATGGCTAAGCCTACACTCCAAGCCGCTCATAAATCCTACGACCCATCAACCTCGAACCCAGACAAACTCAAGACGAGAAGCCGGTAGACTACTGTTGATGATAAGGGTACCTTTAAGGGGTTCCTCTAAGGGATCTGTAGGGTTTTAGGGTTCAGGGTTTAGGGTGATGATATAAATCCTGCATTGCCTTAAGGACCCTAGACTGTGGGAATTATGGTATATTCCTTATTATGGGTCATGCAGGATTTGTATCATCAACCGTAGCATAAAGCTGGAAGATTCCGGTTTACCACCTATAGACTCGTAGCGCGACATACCAAAACCCTAATGTAGAGATAGTTCTATGTCCACTATTATGGCCCCCGAAAGAAACGGACACCAAGGAAGCTATCTTAAAGCATAAAGGGGGATCCTTATCATGACTGAATTACTTTCTTTCTCAATTCAGGTGGGTCCTTGTCATGATTTACGGGAGAGGGGGCCGGTATCGTCGTTTGCGGCTTCGGGTTGAGGGTTTGGGGCTTGGGGGTTTAGGATGCAAAACGTCACTACCTGGTTTTTTGAACCCACTCAGATGGATGCAGGATTACGCTTCTGGGCCGCTCACTGCAGCAATATCATATAAACACCTGATTGATAACACCCCCTGTCTTCATCGGGATCGAAGCGCAGATCCGAAGGCCCTTCAAGACAGTGGCTGACTCACCAGGGCAATGCTTCAATGTGCCCCGAAGTATCCGAGAAACTATAGAATCTGACACAAACCAAGACCTGCCAACCCAGCCCAACCCCTAAGGGTCCATGTACTCATATAGTATATACATTGGCCTTAATGTAGTCCCTGTATAGGTACGTTGGGGCTCATGTATCTCTATATGTATGGGTACATGGACCCTTAGGGAACTATGAGCCTTCAACCCGAAACACTGAACCATACCAGCCTTAAACCTCGAACCCGAAAGCCCTAAACCCCATTGGCCTTCACATTTGGAGGCATTGGGCGCTCCACCGTCCTTAGCTGAAGACTCAAAACTGAGTTAGCAGGTACCATTGCCGTTTTCTAACCATGGCAACGATAAGCCGTATCTGAGATTTGAACTGCTGAAGGTTTGAAGCTGTGCGCTCTGAAGCATTTTCTGATCAGCGATTGGGCACATCACGCTTGCCAGAACAGCTGTCTCCAAAGCAGACGAGCTGCACAGCACAAGCATGACAATGACACACTAAAACCCCAGCCGAAACAAGAGCTCGTGCCGAAAGCGCCCGACCCAGCGCCGGCAGCGCCAGACCCAACGCCTGCGCGATGCATGAGCGCCACCGCCAGCCCAAGAACCAAACGGGACTTTCCAAACTGCTCCCAAATAATCTGCCGGCACATCACACTCCCCATCTCTGCTGTCTCCAAAGCAGACGAGACCATCTGCCCGGAGCGCACAAGTATGCCAACCGCCGGCTGACACTGCCAAAGCTGGCCCCAAATCTGCTGGCACATCACACTGTCCATATTCGTTGTCTCCAAAGCAGACGAGCTGACCATCTATCCGCACTGCACAAGTATGGTGAGCGCCCGCGGAAACGGCCAAAACTGGTCCCAAGTCTGCTGGTACATCACACTGCCCACCACTCTTCTGCCATCGGTTGGCTCCAAAGCAGATGAGCTGACCATCTGTCCACACAGCACAAGTATGATGGAAGCCCGCTGAGACCGCCAAAACTGATCCCAAACGTGCTGGCAGGTCACACTGCTTGTAGTCGTTCCGTCCAAAGCAGACCAGCTGACCATCTGTCCGCACTGCACAAGTATGGTAAGCGCCCGCTGGCACGGCCAAAACTGATCCCAAATCTGCCGGTGCATCACACTGCCCATGTCTGTTGTGTTTAAAGCCTCCAAAGCACACGAGCTGACCGTCTGTCCGCACAGCACAAGTATGATGAAGGCCCGCTGAGACTGCCAAAACTGATCCCAAACGTGCTGGCACGTCACACTGCTCATGTGCGTTGTCACCAAAGCAGACGAGCTGACCATCTGCCTGCACTGCACAAGTATGGAAACCGTTCGCTGAGACTGCCAAAACTGGTCCCAAATCTACTGGCACGTCACACTGCCCACGGTTGTTTTGCCGTTGGTTGGCTCCAAAGCAGACGAGCTGACCATCTGCCCGCACTGCACAAGTATGATGATTGCCCGCTGCGACTGGCGAATCGCACTGAACATGTTCGCTGAGTATACCCTTGGCTGACAGGCCTTGGTTCCTCGCTGTACATTCCTGGAAAGTTGGAAGCCCGAGACCGTCTGTGTATATTGGTGGACAGGCACCTAACACGTCGAAGGCGTGGCCGCGTGAAACGTGACTGACCCAGAGCGGGAAGGCACCAGGAGCCAGGACAATCTGCAGGAAACGACTGGAATGCAATCCTTTGTGTCAGGAGGAATATGGAAAGCACCGAGCCAGCTTTCATGACCATTGATAGATGCATTATGAAACAAGAAATGCTCCAAGAGGAAGGGCGCGGGGCGCGCTCGAAGGCGAAAGACAAGAATCCAGACAAGTAGTGAAATATTGCCTGAATCCTAAACTTGACCCGCGCTATCGTAGAATTATCAGAACTGACCATTTATGTTTTCTCACCTTAGGGGTTTGAGGTTGGATGTTATGCTTGGAGGGTCGGGGGACTTAGTAACTGGTTATTTTAGGGACTTATAAGTACCATGACCCCAATTAGGGTCCCTTTTAGGGTACTTATAAGTCTACTTACTAACTACTTACCAAGTCCCCCGACCCCCCAAGTGGTTTTCTATGTGTCAAGGGATGTGGAGTTGGGGCCGGCCTAGAACAGGTCATGTGAGTTCCTACTAGGTCTATGGTGGGATTTTATGCAGGGGTCTGGGTTTGGGTCTTTGATGTGGCCTAGAACAGGTCGTCTAGTTGGGTTTCTGGCCCTAAACCCTAAACCCCTAAACCCTAAACCCTAAACCCCTAAACCCAAAACCCAAAACCCCTAAGCCCAAAACCCTAAACCCAACTTGGGGGGTCGGGGGACTTAGTAAGTAGTTAGTAAGTAGACTTATAAGTACCCTAAAAGGGACCCTAATTGGGGCTATGGTACTTATAAGTCCCTGAAACAACCAGTTACTAAGTCCCCCGACCCTCCAAGAAGGGTCTGGGTTTGGGTCTTTGATGTGGCCTAGAACAGGTCGTCTAGTTGGGTTTCTGGCCCTAAACCCTAAACCCCTAAACCCTAAACCCTATAAACCCTAAACCCTAAACCCGAAACCCTAACCCCTAAACCCTAAACCCCTAAACCCTAAACCCTAAACCCCTAAACCCTAAACCCTAAACCCCTAAACCCCTAAACCCCTAAACCCAAAACCCTAAACCCAAGGGTCTGGGTTTGGGTCTGGGGATGGCCAAGAGTAGGTCAGGTGGTTGAGTTTCGAGTTTGGCTTATGCTGGAATTTACAGGAACGTCTGGGCTTGGGCCTATTATTTAGGTTTTAAAGGTTTAGAGTTTACGCATTAAAGGTTTAGGGTTTAGGGTAGTTTACTTGGGGGGTCGGGGGACTTAGTAAGTAGTTAGTAAGTAGACTTATAAGTACCCTAAAAGGGACCCTAATTGGGGCTATGGTACTTATAAGTCCCTGAAACAACCAGTTACTAAGTCCCCCGACCCTCCAAGTAGGCTTTATAGGATTCAGGGATATGTCCTAGGGGAGGTGCATGGTATGGAGTTGAGTATGCTATTGTTTACGGGGGTTTGTGTGGTTCCATAGTACTGGTTCTTCAGGTGGGTCCTGGATCGGGCTCTTTCGGTGGCTTGAAGGTTGAGGCATAGGTTGTTATGGCTTTGGGTCTTCAGGTGAGTTATTCCTCGGGTTCTACCTATGGGTCTTGGATGGGTTTAGGGCTCAGTCATAGGTTGTTATGGTTTGGGTGCTAAGGGGTGTGCATGGTTAGAACATGGAAAATGGTATCTGCTAACTAATTGAGCTTTGGGCCTCTATATATGCAAAAATATGTGTGCTTACTTAATCCTTGAGCAGGTTTATGGAGTTCGATACAATTAGAATTTCATAGGGTATCGGGGTACATGACAGTATAAAGTACGAGTGTAGAAAGAGTAGAATCAGAATAAGGGTCGACTAATTTCTGACTATTCCGACATTCATTGTCGGCGGGATTGGCACGTAGTTGGAGGTGGAGCCCTTATACTCACCTCCATCGTCGTCTCGGGGTCGTCAAGGTACCAATATTGGAATAGGGTTTTGGGGCCCAGTATACGATAATTATATGAAGGAACCCCCAAAATAGTATAGGTAAGTATGAAGGCCCCTAAATCTCCCTCTGAAGCTGGCAATGCTGCAACTGCCCCTCTGAGCCCGTTCTCTGGAACTCGCCGGAAAAATCCCTTAATTGAGGAGTATACCAAAACCATAGTAGGATCCCGAAGATGATTTAACCTAAGGCATATTCCTTAATTAAGGGATTTTGGAAGGTCTGCGTCCGCGGAGAGGCGCGGGATGGTCCTCGAGATGGACGACCTCCGAGAACCAGGGCCAGCCAAGCCCAGCGAGCCCAATACCCCTTAATTAAGGAAAAAGGCTTAACTTATATACGGCTTCAAATTATGATTTAAGCTCTATTCCTTAATTAAGGGGTATTAAGGGGTATTGGACTCTCTGGGAGCTTATTCCGGCCTGTGTTTCGCCGCTGCTGGCCGTCTTTGCGCTTCTGGCGCACATGGCCTTCGCGTTCCTGTCATTCATCCTCATCGAAACGTCAAAGGCTGTAAGGTTCCCGATCCCTTATCAACCCTGACATTAATCCTAATTACTTGCGAAATTCAAAATCTAAACTCCCTATAAACCATACGAAAAACTCTTTCCAGGGTTGTCTTCGATGGTACTTCGCATGGTACTCTACTTAAAAGAATGAGCATCTTGTGATATTGGGCCTATTGTCAGGAACCCGGGTATACCTAAACACCTATATCTACTGTTAAGGACCTCAACCTAAAAAAGGTCACCACTGAAGGGATCTGTAGTAAATAACAGGGTTTCCTCAGTATGGTAACTTAACCTGAATTCCTGAACCAGAACCCGGACGGGGGTCCTGATTTCGCGAAGCCGCCTCCGACCACAGTCCCCGAACCCTGCAAGCCCTCATCACGCAAGCCTGAAAGTATAGGACCTGGGCTTCAGGGTGCTACTTAGTAGTGAAACTGTCCGCCTAGCATCACTAACTATAATTACACGCTAGATAGCTATACATAGAATCATCACATTAAGCTTTAAACCCCAACGCCGAAAACACACAATACAACACTCAAGCAAGCTTTGTATCAGCCTCCATTTAGTCCTCTCAGGGTCAACAACGTTTGAAACTGGGGACCCAACACACTGTGAGTGCTAAACCTCAACGCCCAATAACAGCTAGTACCCTAAAGCGCCCAAACAGTCACAAGAAGGCCATCTGCTTCAGATTCTCCAAAGATCGAAGTGGGAACATCAAGAACAGTCAATAAGATAGGACTATGCACCTAAGTATCGCAGGGTCTATGATCCTACGGCTCAGGACACATACCGAATTCGGTAACAGCTATAGCACTCGGTTGGTTATTTTTGGTATTGCTATGCTTGCGGCTTAGGAGTACACGAAAGCTGTGCCATCAGTCAGTCTACTGTAGGAACCTGATTAGAAACCCTGGGCCAATAACCCCCAAAATAGTAGGATTCATATAAGGAGCCCCAATAAAGGCCCAAGGTTTCCTAATCAGGTTCCTACATTATTATAGTACCCTTATAGATCCCTTATAGTAACTCTTAGATCCCTTATAGTAACTCTTATTGATCCCTTATAGTAACTCTTATAGATCCCTTTAAAGGAAGCCTCATATAAAGGCCCAAGGTTTCCTAATCAGGTTCCTACAATACTCATGGGCCCTAATTCGTGATCCCTAATTCTCCCTAGTACTCCCTAAGGTTCCCTTACAGTCCCCTAAGGATTCCTTATACCCTCCCCCCTTGAACCACCCTCCCTTAAGGATCCTATAAGATGAGTGGCCCCATCTCCAGAACGCCCCAGACCTTCACCGAGTGGGCATGCAAGGTCGCATTGACCTGCGCAGCGTCAAAGGGGAAAAGCAGGGACCCTTAATGGGGACCCCTGGGACCCTATAATGGGCTATAATTATCATGGGTATATAATAGCTATATTAAGGGTATATACCTAGGGGTCCTTATTAAGGGTCCCTCCTTTTACCCTTGGAGCATGTCGGCTCAGTGTTAAGTCCACTAAACCCTGAAGGCCCTCACCTTAAAGATGCAAAGGCCCCACCCTAAAGCCACATAACCTCAATTGCAAAACAAAACCTTCCAAAGAACCCTTAGCCTTAACAGTTCACAAGCTAAGTCTAAACTCTACTGACTTCACTCTGTTGTACCCCCAGGCTCTGCAAAACAAGGAAACCCTAAACCCTGCAAAACCCTTAGAGGAGCCCTACTTAGATTCGGAACCCTAAGACCCGAACACAGCTCAAAGGAGCCCTACAGCTGAACCCGGAGCCCTGCAAAAAAGCAAAGGGGAAGCCCAAGGCCAAGACCTCTCAGGGGTAGTTATACGTAGGGGTTTATAGGGGTCCTTTAAAGGGCTGCATAAAGGTCCTATAAAGGGAGGCTCATGGGTAGCTCTTAAAAGGGTATAGGGTTCCGAGGTTGAGGCCTCTCAGGTGGTAATCCCAAAAGAAGCTTAAACCCTAAACCCGAAACGAAACTCTGAGCCTTACTTGAAGGTTCATGGGTAGTTGATTATAAGTAGGGTTATAAGTAGGATAACTGTAAATCTGAAGAGCGATGTCAGGACCCCATACGCATGTCTGAACACGTGCGAGAGGAATGTTCCAGTGCATAAAGCATTGCTTCGCTCCCTGAGGGATGTTCCAGTGCATATTGCATTGCTTCGCTCCTCGTTAAACTCAGGCTCACGAGCTTTTGCCGTTGCACAGGGGAAAACAACAGCCGTCCCTGCTGCCGTAGTCTTAGATTGGTAGCGGAGCCCTTAGGGCTCCTGATGATTTCCTCGCCAGGCGATGGAATCCGCGATGATGATGGCGCTGCTGCGCCCTTAGATCCCTGGGCTGATGCCGCCCGGGCTGCTCATCCTGCCGGCGACGTTGATCCTCCCGATGGACACGGTGATGACGGCGGTGGTACCCGCCGTGCTTGGCGAAAGGGGAAGCATTCTGGCGATGACGCCGAGAATGTGAAGGGGAACCCTGTGGACGACAGGGACTACGATGAGCCTTACGGCAAGAAGCCTGAGGAGAGACACGATTGGAAGGAATCCTCTTCGTGGTCGCCCTACGACCCTACGAAGTGTGCGTGGTGGGCCACCTCTTGGTCCTCGGGCTGGAATTCGGGCTACAACCAAGGGCATTCCTGGTCTGGGAGCCGTGGACATTCTCCCGCGGATGGTGGTACCTGGGAAACTTCTTGGACCCGCTCGACTTCGGCGACTAACTCTGGCAATCCTTGGGAGACCGAGTGGTCCAATCCCCACTCTACGAGCAATTCATCTGGACCCTGGGAGACCGAGTGGAACCGCAATGCCATTCCAGGGGAGGCGTGGCAATCTCGCCAACAGTTCTCCGATGGAAACCCTTCCCGTACTCCTTCCTCAGATGATGGAGAACGTCGGGGCGCCGTCAGCGAGCGGATGTCGGTGCCTACTTTCACGGCGGAGAACAGTGGGGACGAGCTTGGCCAGTCGGCCCGCAGCTACATTCGCCAGATCGAGGCGTGGGTCCGTGTTACGCGAACGCCCTCTGCGCAGCAGGCCCTTCTCCTGTACCAGAACCTCAAGGGGCGCGCGTGGATCGAGGCTGAAGAGCTGGAGGTTGCTGAACTATGTGTTCCCGACGGAGTGGACCGCTTCAAGGCATGGATCGCCGAGCGCTACCAGGAGATCGAAGTTGGAAAGATAGCGGAGGCCCTCAATGGCTTCTTCAGAAAGCTTCGACGGGGCCCGTCTCAATCGGTGCGGGAGTTCAATGCCACCTTCGACCGGGCCTACGCGAGGTTGGTGGAGATCGAGTGCAAGCTTCCGGAAACTGCTCGCGCCTCGGCCTACTTGAGCGCGCTTTCGCTTTCGCGCTCCGAGGAACTGGCCATTCTTGGGAGCGTGAACAACGAGTTCGTGTGCTCGAAGCTCCAGTGTGCTGCGGTCCTACATGAGAAGAGCCTTCGACGTCCTTGGGACAAGGAACATCCGAAGCCATGGGAACGGGCCAAGAACGGCATGAAGGTGAACTCCGCCAACAACGTGGAGCCCATCCCAGAGGAGGCGGACGAGGACCTGGACGTCGAGGACCCCCTCAACCCGGAGGAGGCCGAGCTCTACGAGGCGTTTATGACGGCTAAAGCCCAGTACCGTGATGCAGTGAAGGGGCGCAACTTGGAACCCGAAGAGGTGAAGAGGGCCATCGAGAATAAGATCCTGAGTGCAAAACAGAGGTCCTTTTGCAGTGTGTGCAAACAGCGCGGTCACTGGTACAAAGATCCCGAATGCCCTGGACCTCCCAATGGCAAGCCCAAAGGAAGTCCTGAACCTGGCAAGCCCCAAACCGCCAACATCTCCAATGAGGTTTTCATGACGAGTGGCCCTTTGAGCGAGAACCTCCTTGCGATCACCGACAGTGCGTGCACAAAATCCGTTGCAGGTACCTCGTGGCTGCAGCGTTACGTGGAGGTCCTCAAGGCGTTCAACATTGAGGTGCCTTTGCTGGGTGAGTCAGACAACTTCAGATTCGGAGCTTCTAGGATCTACTCCTCGAACTACGCCATCGTGGTTTCCTTTAAGGTGGGTTCTTCTTGGGTGCTCGTGAAGGTGGCCATCATCCACGGGGACCTGCCTCTACTGCTGAGCCGTTCAGTTTTAGCCGAACTCGGGATGGTCTACAACCTTAAGGAGCACAAGGCGGACTTCGAAGCTGTGAAGGTCAACGGTTATCCTTTGCTCTCGATCCCTACCGGGCACCCAGCTATAAGCGTTCACCCCGGAGGTCAGGGCATCCCGCTGGAAGCACAGCCCAAGATGTGGGACGCCAACAAGTGCGTCCGCGGTGAGGTACAGATCTTCTCGATTCGGCGGCATACACGGCGGACTGCAGCGGGGGAACGGGACCTTATGAAGCCTTCGTAGCGGTTAATACACTTCCCGAAAACCGACCTCCTCAAGCACAGTTTCCTCAGATATTTTATGCCAAGAAGATCCCTCCCGAAGTGAAGAATCTCCTTGTCAGTGAGACCTTGTCTGTCGAGAACTTCGTGAAATGGTGGAACGGCACACGTATTTCTTCGGACTTTTGGATAGAGACACAGTGTTCTTTGATACGCATCCATGTCACTCCTCGGAAGTCTCTGTTCAGTCCCGTGAATTGGAACACACAACAATCGTTTCTACGAGACAATCTCCTGAAGGTACTCGGTAGCGTGAGGGAAACTTTCAGCATCAGTTGTCGATCTCAGCGCGGCCTTCCTCTTGCAGTCGACTTCTGGAATGCGATGCCTGCCGATGCCAAGAACTGTCACCAATGCCTCTGGATCGGCCGTACAGTGTTCAATCGTAGACCGATTGCCCCAATTCGAACTCCTCCCGGCCTCTCTGGTAATGTCGTCTCGCCCAACATGGCAAATGACGAAAACCCAGCTCCTGGCCGAGGCGACCCGCCTCAACTTGAACCCGATGACATCGTGGACCGTGGAGGAGCTGCGCAGTGCGATCACCGAGGCCAAGGCGATCGACCAGGAGGAGAAGGGCGTCCCGAAAGGAATGTCGGGAATGAAGCTGGCGGATCTAAAGATGGAGGCGGATCGCATCGGTGTGAGCTACGACTCCAAGGTGACAAGGGGGACGTTGATGCGCCATATCAGGGACTATCACGAGACGCCGGACAACACCATCATGTCGATCGGGCGCTACAAAGGGAGTGGGTACTTTGATGGGCTGTCCTTTGGCTAATGACTTAAGATTGTTACAGGGATTGGTAACCGTACTGTAACAGTGTTCTAACCATGGACTAAGTGCTGACTAAAGACTTATAAGTACGCTAATTGATTACATGAGATGCTAAGATTTTTGTATTTTTAGGTTAAAGCTAATTTCATGTTAATTTTATCTTAATTTTAGCACTTGCGAAATCTATGTTTTTAAGGAAGCATAAACCATTGTTTGAATCATCTTTCTTTCCTGGCTTTATACATGAGATGCAGTCTTTTGTGGCTTTTGGTATGGTAGTTCCTCGGAGCTATACACTTCACATGCAGTGTTTCGGTGCCTTTCATGTGGCAGTCCTTCGGGGCTGTATACATGGCATGCACTTGGGGACTTTTGACATGATTGTCCTTAAATCGGGTCTTTAGCCCCTCATGGGGGCTTTATGCATGACATGCATGCAGTCATTGGAGCTTTTCACATTCAAGTCCTTTGGGGCTTTCTGCATGACATGCAGCCCTCGGGGGCTTTAGATATTGCAGTCCTTCGGGTTTTTAATATAGTCCTTCGGGTTGGATAATACATGCAGTCCTTCGGGGCTTTTGACATGCAGTCCTCCGGGGCTTTCAACATGGCAGTCCTTCGGGGCTTCACTCATGTCATGCAATCCTTCGTGGCTTTAGTCATGGTAGTCCTTCGGGGCTGACAGTGCATGACATGCATGGGCCTTGGGGGCATTTTGGTTGGATGCATGATTGTTGTGATTCTGTATAGATTGCAGAAAAGTTTGGTGCCCGAGCTTTGTTTCGATTTTGAGTTCTGGTTTTGCGGATCATGGATGGGTGGCATCCCTGTGCGACTCCTGGCTGCGACAGACTGTGCCAACCTTCGAAGAGACATTGCTGCTCCCAATGTCGGAAGAACTATGGTGGGCATTCGAGCAGATGCCAGGATGTGCAAGCACATCGCAATCGTGAGCTCCCGGCAGGCAGTAGGATTCCTTGTCAAGGGTCGCCACAGTGCGATAGGATGACTACGACTCCTCACCACTGGTGCTGCAGCTGGTGCAAGTCAGGCCTTGGGATGCACAAGCCATCCTGCACGGTGAGGCAGAACCGAATGGCCCTCCAGAGTTTGTCGCAGGGGCAAGCGACTGATTTGAACAGCATGGACTAACTAGATCGGCCGTGGTATAGTGCGGGTGCAAAAGCCGGAGAGCCACTTCTTAGTTTAAACTCGGATGTGGTATGCATGCAAGCAGCAATGGAAATCCATTGCTACATACTTCATGCATGGCAAGCAGCAAAGGAAATCCATTGGTACTTTGTTTTCAGCTGGAAGCTTCAAAGACGTGCACAGCAGCCACCTCTCTAGGCAACCCCACCGTGCCACGATGGACGACAACACCCTCAAGGCAGCGATCCGGGCGATTATGGACGACACGGAGGTGCCGCCGAACAAGCGGCTCGACCGCTTGACCACTTTCTTGAAAGAGAATGGTTTGGCATACTCCACGATGTTGTGCCCCAACGACTTCCTGGTCCATCCCCACAATAGAGGAGGGGCTATGATCAATGCACTGGACGTGCATGACAAAGGCCAAAAGATTCTCGAGTTAGGATTCAGAAGGTCTCTTCTCACGGACTCGATTTGTTTCGAATTGAGCCCGCATGAGACCCAACGACGGGTGCAAGTGGAGGCGAACGAGGCCCTTGTACAGAAGTCTTCGGGCTTGCTCGCCCCACTCCAGGGAAGCGAGCGGTATATGACGGTGTCCTCCAGCCACACCACCGCCTTTTTGAAGGCCTCCCAGCACCGGTGCAAAAGGCCAGGTGCTGCTGGCGGCTTTTTGAACCTCGAGGACGAGGCCCTCAAAGAGGCGGTCTCGAAGGGATGGCCCTGGCTTGTCCTTTCTTGGCGAGCGGAATTTCTGGTGCCAACCTTGCCAGCCTTCGTCCAGATGGTGCTGAACAGTGTGCACTCGGTTGGACTCGGCATCCAAGAGATGGAAGCGGCTCAACAGGTTGCCTTGCTGGTCTCCTCCGGTCAGAGCTTCAAAGATGCCGTTCAGTCTGTCAAGGCTTCGAGACCCGCCTGCCACTCCTACATGGACTTCGTAGGCCTGTATGTGCAGAAGTTTGGGGGAGGACCGGACTTCCCGCTCATCAGCTTCTTGTCGGATTTCTGCAAAGAGCTGAGTATCACAGTCTGCATCGGAGAGGAATTGTTTAAGGCGGTTACCTCGTGGGACTTGCAGGAGCCAAGTACCCAATTCCCCTTCCTCAGGGCTAGCCTTCTTGCATGCCAGCTCACGAGCCCCAAGATTGTAGACGGAACGGCCCGGTTGCTCCTCAAATCGGACTTGGACAGGCTGAAAGGTGCCAATGTTCGGCAGAACCTCTTGCAAGCCGAGCAGATGGTGGCTCATGCCTACCAAGTGTACGTGGATTCCGGGAAGACAACGGTCGTTCAACGAGCTTTGGGGCTCATGATGGTTCGCCTGAGCTTGATCTTGGTCAAGAAAGAGAAGCTGGGCCGCGAGAAGTTGGAGGTGTATCGTAGCCCGGAGCACGTAGCCCAGCTCTTTGCCACAGAAGCCACGAACAGTGCAGCTTCTGCCAGTGCGGCAAAAGCCGACGGGAAGGATTCAGAGGAGGAGCCGGCCTTGGACCTCTTGGGTGCCTTGAGTGTAGGAGAGCAGGCTTTGTTGCAGAACAAGCACTTGAAGAAAGATGGCAGATACGTGCATGCCGACTACCCAGAGAAGATCTTTGTTTTCACGGGTCTCGAGAACGACGAGGCCCAATTCGTGCACACCCCCCTTTATGGCTCCCCCGAAACCGTCTTGGTGCCCCCTGACCTTTTCCGCAAGTGGAAGGCGACGAGGCTGCCACTTCCCAGGGTTTTGGCAAAGGATGCAGCCGAAGGGCTCATGTATGGAAAGTCTTCCGTTTTGGCCGAGGCCGAGTTGCTTGCCGAGGCCCAACAGATGCTCTTCAAGCTCTACCAGGATCACAACTCCGGCGATTCGGCGGCCTTGGACATCGTGACCCCCACGAACATTTACACTTCAATCAGCTTCCCGGCTCACAAGCTCAAGCTCGTCCCCTTGGCAATCTTGTCCAAGCCGAAAGATGCTTCGAAACTCACTTTGTTTGTGGAGTGGAAAGGTGCCAAGTTTCAGTTGTCCCCGTGGCCACAGCTCAAAGACTTCGACGAGACTATCGCCTTAAGCAGGATGGGATTTTATGGTTTTTAAGGCTATATGTATGGGGTTGTCGTTTGAAGAGTTCTTGTATCTGTGTTGTGCAAGATAAGGCCGAAGTCCACGGAAGTTATCGTGCCTTTCTACTTTGTGAAGACGACGTCCAAGGAAGAGGATGTGAGCATGACGATTTCTTGGAAGACGTTGGATGGGATGAAGCTTCCCATGCTCACGAATGTGAAGAAACTTTCGGCCCAGACTATCTTGTTGCAGGCCAGCAAGGACTTGCTGGAGAAGAAGGATGGGCATGGCTCCAGCAGCAAGAAGAGAAAGACGACGTGATCGCCGCCGTGACGATCTTCGCGATTCTCATGGTGCTGTGGGTCGAGTGCTTGATTGCCACCGTCACGGCCTTCGTGATGCTCATGGTGCTATGGGTCGATTGATTTTGGTTTGATTTGCCACTGCACAGCTTCAACAAGGTTTCGTGTCGCCTCCGTTGCTTCATGCTGGGACATGCTCACTGGTTTTGGCCATGTAGCAACAAATTGTTGTTGCTTGCTTGGGAACAGCACAAACGTGCTTTTTGGTTTACGAGCCTGCATGCTGTGTCGTTCCTCATCATGTTTCCTTTCCTGCATGCTGAGTGTTCAAGCAAGTTTTGCTGTTTGGGCCTTTGGTCTCATGGTGACGATTGGAACGAGCACGAGTCTCACGTGGCGGGATCGCCAAATAGTTGTGCCGCCGGAGCTCATCGTCAGCATCGGGGAACTGAACTACTTGAAAGTTCAGCCTTCGAACCGAACACTCATGAAGTTGCTGCTTGGTGCCAGAACCGCCGGTAGCCTGACCTCGTCCCCTGGGCTGCAGCAGCTGAGACAGGGCAGGGAGGATGCAATCGCCAAGGCAATCAAGGAAGAGAGCAAAGAAAAAGGAAGTGGTGCTGACGACCTTTTCACAGAACCGAAAATTAAAAAACCCACCAAGCTAGCTTCCACCACCCTTGAGTTCGTGATGGTGGACGGTCTCCAGATCGGCTTGCAGCAGAAGCACAAGGCGAGCACAGATCTCTTAGTTCTGATGGAGTCGGATACTTTGGACAAAGTCTTCACCAAGATCACTGAGGACTGTATAATGTAATATGTTTTTGGTTTGTTCTGGGTTAATGTGCTTTTGAGAAGCTTCTATGAAGGATGCAGATCCGGAAGAAAAGCGCCGTTACAAGAGACGTAGGGTCGCCGAGAAGAAGGAGAACTCCGACGAGCCGAGTGAGCATTCGGATTGATTTGGCAAGCTGCTTGCATTTGGAGTATAAAACACGACAGTCCTGTGCATGGTCCTGTGCAGTGTACATGCAGAATAGTTAAGAGAAAGGTAGAAAGCAACACAGCAAGGGTTCCTGCTTGCTTGCAATGTAGGGATCTCCTTGGAAAGCTTGTTTTGTTCTGGTGTATGCAGCCCTGTTGGCAGGGCTTACCATGACCCATGCAGTCCTCATGGCAGGGCTTACCATGACACATGCAGTCCTCTTGGCAGGGCTTACCATGACACATGCAGTCCTTGGCAGGGCTTACCATGCAGTCCTCTTGGCAGGGCTTATACCATGACACATGCATGCAGGCTTCTTGGCAGGGTTTAAGGTGGCTTAGGAAATAGCGCTTTTGCAGTCTTGTTTGCAAAGAGGCTTTCATCATGCATTGCAGGTTGCAGTGAGGAGAATCTGTTAGTTTTTGTGGTGCAGGAGAGCCAGGGTCACTGATTCTTTATGTACCCGTGCCGCCTCAAGATGCAGGTGTTGCCGTGTTGTTAGTTGAAGCATTCAAGAAGTGTTTCATGTCACATGCATGGGTTCATGTGCATGACTAGAAACCACAATCAGAGTTTGCATGGGTTCTGCAATCATATTGATATTCGGCAACCTGCACAGATAGACGGCATCGTGCTGGACTTCCGTGTCAAGCTCTAACATCGAGGGCCTATATAGTTGACCTTCCAAGGGCCTCACTTGACTTTGCTACTTAGAGCAGGCAACTCTAGCTTCACTCTGCGACACTATAAGACGGAACTACTTAAAGTAGTGGTGCCTCGACGGTGGTTTTGGGCCATGGCCGACTCGAGGCTGTGGGAGCCTTTGTTCCTCACCCAGGAGGACCAGACGTGGATCTATGAACAGATCCTGAATTGGACGTCTGCCGAATGGAATGCTTGGTTCAATGGCTTGTCTGAAGGCGACCAAGAATGGTGGGAACGTGCGGCGGCTTCCTATCCTCACCTCTTTTCGTTACAACCTGGTCAGTCTGCTGCCGCCGAGCCAGCTTCAGGCTCCGATGGTCAAGGACTGCCCGGGCATCAGGGTTATAGTCTGCGAATGCATAGGTTGGTTTGAGCTGAAGCAGTATGGGTCGCAGAGTTTCTTCATTCTGTTTTCACTTCATGCAGTCCTGCTTGCAGGGCTTTCATGATGGTTGCTTCCAGTCATGCAGTCCTGCTTGCAGGGCTTTCCATGCAGTCCTGCTTCCGGGGCTTTCCATGCAGTCCTGCTTCCGGGGCTTTCCATGATCCTGACTTCCTTGCATGGAGTTTTGTTTGCAGGTGCAAGCAGTCCTGTGCATTTCCTGTTCATCATGGCTTTGCCTGCCCTTGCAGAAACCCTTAACCCCAAAACCCAAACTGTTCATTTTCATTTGCTTGCCGTCCTTCCGGAATCCCTTAACTGAAGGCCGAACCTTATAAGCACCAAAACCCTTTAGAAGCCAACTCATGAACTGTAAACACCAAACCCAACATTTTGCAACCACAAGCCTCAACCCCTGGAGGAAGCACCACAGCTGCTGCAGATCCGGCTGCAGATCCGCTGGACTTTGTCTGGGCCGGTGTTGGACCAGAGTCTTGATTCTTTCAGCAGAAGTTAAAGTTCAGTTGTTCCGGATTCAAGGCAGCTTCAAACCGTTACCAAACAGCATCCGACAGTGTACTAGAGCCAAGGACCCTCTTATGAAGCAGCAGGATGTCAAGCCGGAGCCCACTTCTACTGCTGCAGATGACTCTTCCGTGAAGAAGGAGATGGAGGTGGCTGCTCCGCCTCAGCTGGTGGCTGCTCCGGCCCAGCTGCCTTGGAAGGCTCCGCCTATGAAGCAGGAGCTGCGACCGAAAGCGGGAGGGGTTTCGCTGCCACCGCCCCCGCCGATGCCGAAGGATATCAAGGCGGAGTACGACGAGCTGCAGGCCATGCTTGAGGAGGAGGAGGAGCGAATGATGCAGCAGAAGGCTCCAGCTGCACAGGCCGAGGAGGAGAAGGATGAGTACCAGAAGGCCGGAGTGTGCAGACCTCCTCCTTTGAAGAAGGCGAGGCAGGCGGCTTCGAGCTCTGCGGCACAGGGCAGCAACGTGGAGTTCGAGGATGCGAGGAGGTCCACGAAGCTCCAGAGCGGCTGGCTTTGTCGCTGTGTGGCCTTGGGGAACGCCTTCATGGTCGGGGACAACGATCGCTGTGCCTACTTGTTGGAGAAGTTCAGAAGCGATCCTACCTTTAACAAAAGGCTCCAGGACCACTCCTCGTACTGGGAGAGACATGGACAGGACCCTCAGTATAACTACTGAGGGATCACAGCCAGGCAGCGGCGGTATGAAAAAGAGTGGATCGGCAGTTTTAAGCAAAGTTGCTTAAAAACAACTTGGTTCAGGGTCCGTGGACAGAGAGTTGTTTTTGAGCAACTGTGATATAGGATTCCTGAGTCAGAGTTGTTCTGGAACATCTTGGGTTTGGGATTCTTGGTTGGAAGTTGTTCCAGAACAACTTTGTTCAGGATCTAGGTATTCCAAGTTGTTTTTAAGCAACTTTGCCTCAAACCATGCTTTGATAACCTTCTTGCTTTGAAGCAGTAGCAGAAGCCTGGCACCAACAAACCCCAAGCCCAGAAATAGTGTTTTTCTAGGAAAGCACGGAGCCCTCAGGCTCAGCCCGAAGCCTACCCAGCCCCGAGCCCACAGCCCACCGAAGCCAACCCCGAAGCCAACCCCCGAAGCCGTAGCCGCCACCGCCTAGAGCCGTGTAGCTTCCCAAGCACGAGCAACCACTAGTGCTCCTAGGGACACCATATACCTTTCTTTGCAGCCCGAAGCCTTCCCAGCAGCAAGGGTTGCATCTTGTTTGTCACACCATGCAGCACTGCTTGCAGTGCTTGTCATACAAAACAGCAAACTCTGCTTTTGAACACATGCTGTGATGCACCCTTGAGGTGCTTCTTAAAACATACAACCATGCAGCACTGCTTGCAGTGCTTGCCATGCAGCACAGACAACTGTGCCTTTCAACACATGCCATGCAGCACCCTTCCGGTGCTTCTTGAAACGTGCAACCGTGCAGCACTGCTTGCAGTGCTTGTCATGCAGCACAGCCAACTGTGCTTTTGAGAACTTGCCGTGCAGTACTGCTTCTAGTGCTTGCCTTGTCCTTATAATGAATCCAGAACCAGGAGCACTATAGGTGATGTAGTTGGGGGGTTCCTATGCATCGTTACTTCATACGAATGAATGGAAAAGTGAGTGTAGTAGCAGTAGTAGTAGTAGTAGTAGTAGTAGTAGTAGTAGTCGTAGTACCAGTCGTAGTACTAGTCGTAGTCGTAGTAGTAGTAGTAGTAGAAGTAGTAGTAGTAGTAGTAGTAGTAGTAGTAGTAGTAGTACTAGTAGTAGTAGTACTAGTAGTAGTCCTCGTCGCAGTGGTAGTCCTAGCAGTCGTAGTAGTAGTACTAGTACTAGCACTATAGTCTTAGTAGTAGTAGTAGTAGTAGTAGTAGTAGTAGTAGTAGTAGTAGTAGTAGTAGTAGTAGTAGTAGTAGTAGTAGTAGTAGTAGTAGTAGTAGTATAATAGTAGTAGTAGTAGTAGTAGTAGTAGTAGTAGTAGTAGTAGTAGTAGTAGTAGTAGTAGTAGTAGTAGTAGTAGTAGTAGTATAGTAGTAGTAATAGTAGTAGTAGTAGTAGTAGTAGTAGTAGTAGTAGTAGTAGTAGTATAATAGTAGTAGTAGTAGTAGTAGTAGTAGTAGTAGTAGTAGTAGTAGTAGTAGTAGTAGTAGTAGTAGTAGTAGTAGTAGTATAGTAGTAGTAATAGTACTACTACTAGTACTAGTAGTAGTAATAGTAGTATAGGAGTATATAGCAGTACTACTGTCGAGTACTCGCAGTACTCCTACTAATACTATAGTATTAGTACAAGTAGGAGCTAACAGCAATAGTACTAGTCATGTCGATAGTAGTATAGTCGCAGCAGTCGCACAAGCAGTAATGGTGGTGGTGGTAGTAGTAGTAGTAGTAGTGGTATCAGTAGTAGTAGTATAGTATTCCTGCTAGTCAGTCGTATACTAGTCCTCCTTTATCGTCGTGGTCGTAGTAGTACTATAAGTACAAGACTTATAATTGTACTTTTACGAGGAATGCTAGCATGAACACTTGTCGCCATTCTTGGTTTAGGCGACTTCTGTTTCACTTGTGGTCCTTTGCTTGGTCTGAGAGACCATGGCTCGTTGGACGGCCGATGACTTCGTGCAGGAGCTAAACTCCATCCAGAGGCTGGTGAGCATGAGGCCCGGCACCGACATGGAGGCTAAGCTCGTGGAGGCACTGCAAGATCGCATGGCCCATCACCCGGGATGGACGGCGGAGCAGCTGTGCAAAATGATGGAAGCAGTGACCCAATCTAGCTTGTCCGGCAACAGCAAAGACGGGTTGCTCAAAGCTTTGGATGATGCTGCAGGCCCGACACTAGCTGGTCAGTCCCAGGTTCGACTCACTAGCAAACCCCAGACCCTCGTGCAAATCAGCAACTACTTGTCCAAGTCAGATTGGGTGAAGTTGTCTACTTCGAGCAGCTGGGATGCTACAGTGGTGGTGACCGAGCGGCTCAGGAGGCTCGGCCTTACCAGTCTCAAAGAAGAGACGAAAAAGTATGCCACCGCCATCATCGTCACTTGTCAGATTGAGAGGCTTGGCATTGCTCCTTCCTACGACGACATCTACAGACTCGCAGAGCAATTGCACAAAGTCTTCCTCAGTGTGCAGGTGCCACGAAAAGCAACAGGGGTCACAATATATCCTTTGCATCCATCAGAGCTCGGACCGGGCTTCGTAAAGGATGCTTATGACCCTGAGGACCCACCGGAGCCGAGAGACCTCCCCGGTCTTGTAGCCCGGGTGACTCATGAGACACCGGTGCGAAGCACGTCGAGTTTGTTGTCGTGGAATCAAGAGAAGAAGAATAAGACTAAGGGCAAGAATGCTGCTTGCGAGGATGCCGCACAAATGCAAGTCCTGATGCATAAGTTCTTGCAGCAGACGGTCGGCAGCACGGGCATGAACACCTTCGATGCATTGCAGCTGCCAAAGAACGGCAGCTTGGTAGCTTTGCAGGAGCCATGCTCCACAGCATTGGGTATGCAATCTGGGCAAGCAAGCACAAACATGCAAAGCACGGGCCATGTCCCCCCCAGCCTCGCTGCTTCAAGCAGTTTGCAGGCTTTGCAGAACATTGCCTCGCCCCAGCATGCCGCCCAGCCCTCCTCGTCCCCGCGAGTGCCAGCCCAGCAATGCACCAGAGATTCCATGCTGCAGACTCCTTCCTCGGTGGCTCCCCCCCCTCTCCTGACTCAGGTAGTGCCTGTGGTGGAAAAGGTTGATCCCCCAGAGCAGCCCCAGCCCCAAGAGCATGTGAAGGAAACCCCTGTGACAACACCTGCAAGCAGCAGCAAGCTCGAGGCGATCGAGCAAGAGGCTTTCAAGGCTTTGCAGGCCCAAAGCAAGCAGGGAGAAAATAAGAAGCGAGGAGCTCCAGATCAGGGCAAAGCAGTCATGAAGAGGCCTTCGGCCAAAGCCAGTGCAGCCAAGCCGGTTGGGAAAGCCAGTGCAGTCCCGCTAAAACTTGGTTGCATTCGCTGCCGTGGCTGTCGAACAGGATGTTCGCAGTGTCAGGATCCGGGGTTCAATGGACTCCGCCTGACCAGGGAGGAATGGAAGGAGTGGTATGCCAAACGGCAGCTTGCCCTCGCAAAGGGCAAAGCCTGCAACAAGAAGTCCAAGAGCAAGAAGTGACTGAGTTAGCCTTGGTGTTTTCAATGGGTGGGTAGCTATATATAGCTTCGCACTGCAGCAAAAGCTGCTTCGTACAGCAAAAGCTGCCCGGTGCATTAATCACTGCAACCGTGTTCCATGGCATCCTGCTTCATTCGAAGCGGGCAAGCGAGCAGCAGAACAAAAAATCATTGCAGCCCAGCCGGGCTTCATGTTTGCATGGCCAGATAGCTCCATGCAGCTCTGCATGACAGGGCTTATGCAGGCATGCCATGCTGATTCGGCCTGGGTTCTATATGAACTGTTCCTTGCTTTGCTTTCCTTGTGCTTCTTCAAGATTGCTTTGGAAATGGCGCTTAGGGCCCACAGCTCCTTGTGTTTTCACATTTGGAGCTACCTTCCCAGTCCACTGTGTGGCCTGGATGCTTTGTTATATGTTTTGCTCTATATAGACAGACATGCAACCGTCATTGTGTTTGGCGGTTCCCGGGTTTTGTGCAAAACCCGGTGTTGAGTTGAAGCTCCAAGCATATGCATGGACTGTGTAAGGCTCAATAGCCAAGTCTTGCAGTTGGCACCCATACGGGTCGCAGAATTTTCTCGTCGACAGTTCCTTCCGATGTACATTCTGGCGGTGTGTATAGGTGTGTATACAGCTACATCTATATTGGGGTTTGAAGTTGCAGGGTTGGAAAATGTTTATTTTTTTGTTACTTTGTAGTTTTATGTTGATGTAGCTGAGTTTTGCATGCATCTATAGATGTGCAGATGCATTCTGCATATAGTCTGCTTGCATCCAAATTCGATTGATTCTACCTGAGCAATAATGTCTTCCTCTTCTTCGAAGACAGACGACCGGCCACAGAAGCTGCAACGGTTGAACTCTTTGAGAAGAGCAGCACCTTACTGTAGTAAGAGTGCTCTGCATGGCCTCTTGCAGGATATTCATGATCATGGCATGCCAGAGTTGACAGACCCGAAGCAGATGAGAGAAGCGACAAGGTCGTACTTGGGCAAGAAAGAAGCTTACGGGCCTCTCTTGGAGAAGCAGGAAGCCAAGACAGTGTCTGGTGGCACGGTGGCTTTTTGGCTGGTGAATGTTTTCAGCTTGCTGGATGGGATTTGCCGTGCCGGTGGTGCTTTCTACGATTTGCTTCGGAGCTGTGCAGAGAAAGCCGGCGGAAGAGCACTCCGATTCGCGATCTACTCAGACGAGGTAATCCCAGGCAATGTCCTTGCAGCCCGAACCTCGAGGAAGAGCTGGTGCATCTATCTCTCATGCATAGACTTCCCTGCTCAAGTGCTTGCGATGGAAGAGGCCTGGCTCACCATCGCACTGCTCAGGAGCTCTTTTGTGGCCTCGCTGGAGGGAAGCATCAGCCAGATCTTCAAAATCATCTTTCGCAGTATCTTCTTGCACTCTAAGCATGACCCGGCGGCAGGTGTTTGGATGCAGGGGCCGAAGGGCGGGTTTCATTTGTCATTCGAGCCAAGCATGGTAATACAAGACGGGGCAGCTCACAAATTCGCTTGGAGTGTGAAAGGTGACTCGGGTTCGAAGTATTGTTTGTTGTGTGGCAATCAGCGAGCCGACAATCGCAACGAAGAGAAGATCCCCAAGCATGCACATGCTGCCTTGCATTTGGTTTCGGATGACGATATTTGGGATTCTTGGTCGAGGCTCGCCGACCTGAAGGGCCGGTGTTCAGCCAAAGACTTTGGCATGTGGCAGCAAGCCACTGGGTGGACCTTCAACACAGAAAGCATTTTTTTTTTTTTTTTGCTGAGGAGGGTGGTCAAACCAGCAACAATGTTCGTGCACGATTGGATGCATTGCTGCTTGAGTAATGGAACATTGAATGATGCGACCTGGTTACTTCTCAGTGCCACGAAGGACCATGGCTTCAAGGATGTTTTTGCCACTCTGGAGAAATACGTGGATCTGTGGACACAGCCGGCTTCCTTCGCACACGTCAAGCTGAAGCAAGTCTTCGAGAACAAGCGGATGAAATCCTGTAGAGAAGCGGGGAAGTTCAAAACGACAGCTTCCGAAATGCTCAGTTTGCTGCCGGTCCTCGCCTTTTTCGTCCGAACCTGCATCGTTGACAAAGGCTTCCTACCATCCGAGTGCGAAGCTTTTTTGCAGATGTGCCTTATGGTGGAACTATTGCAGGCCGCCTGTCATGGGCATGGTTGTGTGATTCCATCCATGTTGCGAGAGGCCGCCGACAAGTGCATGAGCTCTTGGTTCGAAACGGGCTGGGGGGAGCACGTAACCCGCAAGATGCACTGGTTGCTGCATATGGGTGACCACTATGAAAAGCACAAGAGGCTGCCTGCTACATTCAGCATGGAGCGGAAGCACAGGACAATCACCAGATATGCAGCATCCATCCAGAACACCAGCACCTTCGAGCGATCCCTCTACGAGGAAGTGCTTGCCCATGAGCTGTGGCACTTGGAGAAGCTGCCCGAGTTTCCGGTCGCCCTCGCTCTGGAAAACCCACGGCAGAAGCCCCCCCCCAAGCTGAGGGATCTGGTGCTCCAGAGCTTCCCACAAGTCTCCAAAGATGAGATGAAGATCGCAACGATCCTACGGCTTCCTGGTGGTGGGTTGGCAAGCAAGGCAGACGTGTGTTTGCTGCAGGCAGACAAAGGGCGGGACCCTCCTTGGGATTGTGCCGAAGTTTTTTGCCATGTTTCCGTGCAAGGCACATTGTGGTCCGTGGTCTCCCTTTGGAGCTTGCAGGAGTACAACAAGGACAAGCACTGTGCAGTGTGGACCGAGATGGAGCAGCCTGTGATTATCGAGAGCAAAGACATCCTGACAGCGGTGGTTTATTTGAGAGACACGAATTGTGTCCGCACTTTAATCCCTTTGCACCTCCGTAGCTGACAAACTTCTTCGAGGGCCTGGCTCTCCGTTTCACGACAGCGAAAAAAAAAACATGGATCTTCTCTCTCAGCATGCACCTCCGGGTCATGCTACATGCACATGACAAGCATGGTCATGCAGACATGCCATGAAATAGCAGCTGCAAGACAAAGAAAAGCTGCTTACATGATGAGTCCAAGCATGCTCCTTTGGATCATGCTATATGCACATGACAAACATGGTCATGCAAACATGCCATGAAATAGCAGCTGCAAGACAAACAAAAGCTGCTTAAAAACAACATGGAATATTTTCAGAGTTTCACATGGCATGTCTTTATCTTCCTTGCTCAGCACCATGGTGCTTCTTTCTGCATGAGTTGAAGTTGCTTTTCCACATGATGTTTAGCCAGGAAATGAAGGATTCAAAATTTCATATTGCCCGCCTTTTTTTAAACAACAACCTTAAAATCCAAAAGCACAGAGCCATTCCCATGTCATCGGCCACTGGCCACGGGAAAATTTTCATCTCGTAAATCCTGTTTTTGTCGTTCAAAAGCACACATGAAAGCATGCACATGTCACGGAAAATCTTATGTTATACACTACTTCTGTGGTACTACTTAACTAGTTAGCTAATTTTTATAACTGCCATTTCTAATCATCTTAACTCACCTAACTCCTTAGCTAACCCACAGCCCATCAAAGTGGGCCCAGGCCCACGGACTTATGCGTTCCCCGACCTTGCCTTTTGCCGTTAAACTTGCGTGGTTCACCGGCCGGGTGCTGCCCGCTGCCTACTCCAGCCTTTCGACTGCCCTCGTGACCTCAGGGCGGGTTTGGTCGATCTATCAGGGCTTTTTCGACCGCTGCCAACGGGCCCTGGTCTCCTCGTGGCAGGTCTCCCATCATCTTACCCGCGAAGCCTTGGACATTTTGGTCCAAGCGACGACACCTGCTGCTGCTGTGGTAGTTGCCAGAGCACGCCTAACTGTGCAGATTGCCACCTCAGCACCCCCGGCCGTCCTTGACTTGGTCGAAGCCTGTTGTGAACGGGATCTCCCATGGACCAACCTCCTGCGAGACTCTCTCACCCAAGTGGGTCGGTTGTCGGGTCTTACTGAAGCCCAGCTCCAGGACAGCCCCATGCGTGTTGCGCGTGCTCACTGCCGGCTCCTTCGGGGAGCTTGCAAACGCATGGGCCGTTACGGCTCCTGCCTGATGGCCTTTCAGAGGGTCTGGCGGACCAGGGCCACCCACACTTCCACCGGCACCATCGGTACCCCACAGCCTGTCTCCTGCCCTGAATGCGGTTGGACCGGACGGTCACAACAGGCGCTTGCGGCCCATCGCCACCGCAAGCATGGGATCCTGGCCCGGGCCACGGCCCTTTGTGATGGTACGACTTGCAGTTGGTGCTTGCGAGACTTCCATTCGTCGGACCGCCTCAAGTACCACATCTCCACTACCCCTGCCTGCCGCTTGTCCTTGGAGATTTCTGTCGGACCGCATCACACCTACGGCTCTGGGTCCAAGCGTCGGGGCCCACAACAACATCGCTTTGGCGCTCTGGGGGTTACCTAATAAGTTAGGTTGATTAACATCGTTAGCTAACTACTCTAATTTTTAAATTAACTAGTTGTAAAACCTTGGTTTTATACTTGTGAAAACAAAGAATCGAAGTTTGCACATGCTGGCAGCATGGGATCAGTTGACTGTTTTCGGTAAACACAGCAGGTGCATCTTGATTTTTGAAGCGAAGAAAATCATTGAGGAATGTAACCAAAGCAGAGAAATATATGTGTTGCTGTAAACAGTTTCCTTGTTTAGTCCAGGTGTTCTCACAGCGAGCAGAAAGCTTTTGCAAGCTTGTTGCAGAAGTCCTTGGGAAGCACATTGCATGCTGAGCTGTGCTGGCTGATTCCGTTGTGTGGAAGCCTGTGCAGGCTGTGAAAGAAAAGGGAAGGTCGGAAGCCGTGGAGGCTGCAGTGGCACGTTTCTTGTTTCTTGCCTGAAGGTTGAATTTTGTCGATCCAGGCCGAGCATTTGGCTCTGGCGAGAAGCTCCATATGCAAAACATGTAGGCGACATAGGCACTTGTATGGTGGAAGGCAGTGCATGATGCATGTTGGGGAAACTTTGACATATAAGAGCTTCGCATTTTTTGGATCATGACCGTTCCGGACTGGGCGAGCACTGTGCAGGAGCTGATCGACCAGCCTGATGTGAGCATAAATCAAAAATGCCAGAAGATCATGCTGCTGCTTCGTGAGCGACACCTGCTCTACGACTCTTTTGCGACCCCCATGGACTTGATCGTTCATCCGAAAAATCGTGGAGGTGCCCTCGTAAATCCACACGATGTCGTGTCCAAGGGCGTTCAAATCTCTTCCGTTGGCTGGGATCGCATGAAGTTGCGAGAAGCTGTAGCCATCGAACTTCCGAGGGACGAAGGACTTCGCAAGCACTTTCTCGAGATCAACACCCGCCTTGCCGAAATGTCCGAAGGCCTTAACTGGTAAGGAGAGGTGGGCAACTCTTAGCTGTTCGCACACCACTGCCTTCGTCAAAGCGATGGCCAGCGGATGCGGTCCCAAATGTGGTTTGTCACTGGACGAGTGCATGCAGAGTGGGGACGACTTTGCGAAGCTTCTCAAAGAAGGGTGGAGCTGGCGAGTCCTGGCGGCGGAGGTCGAGGAAAGGGTGCCAGCCTTGCCGGGGCTACTGCAGCAGGGCTTGAACTCGGACCTCGCGATCGGCAAACCGCCTAGCGAACTGGAGGTCGCGATGTGCATCTCGCAGCTGTATGCTGCCCAACCGGACGGAGCCAAGGACCTCGGGAAAGCGGTAGCAGCAGCAGGCAGCTCGAACCCTCCGTGCAAACCGTATATTTCGGCCATTGCGGATTTCGTTCAGCAGTTCGCAGGGGGTGAATCCTTCAAAGTTCTGAAATATATGGATGCCATGGCCCGGTCTTATGCCGGGAGCACGATGCTGGGCGCCGACTTCACGAAATGCCTCGCATACACCGACTTCAAAATCGCTACCACGAGATGTCCGATGACTCGCATTGCTTTGGCCTTGACCCAGATCACTGCACCAATGCAGTCATCGACGGGTTCAGCCGCCTTCTGACGAAGGCGGACTTCGATCGTTTGAAGTCCAAGAAAAGCGAAGCGGATTTGGTGAAAGCAGAAGCGCTGATGCAACAAGCATGGGCAGTGGTCGAAGCCGAAGCTTCCGACAAGGCACATCTTCAGATGGCTTTCTGCCGCTATCAAATACGCATCATCCTCTACATGCTCGGCAAGCAGACGAAGGGCAGGGAGGCCAAGGAGTACGACTCCCTGGCCACGTTGTCGAGCATGTTCAGCCAGGAGACCTTGCAGGTTCAGCCCGGGCAGGCTTCCCAGGCTGCAGCTTCTTCAGGGGAGCAGGTCCGAGACCTAGAGGCCTCGAATGATCAGACTTTGATCGCAAAGCAGCAGAACAAGCATGTGAAGGTTGGCCAGGCTTACTTGATCAAAAGGACGGAGCCCGTGGAGGCTGACAAAGACAAAGTCTTTGTTTTGAAGGACTTGCAGCAGGATGGTGCTACCTTGGAGCATCGGCCTTTCTTTGGCGAGCAGGTGCAGGTCGAGAAGGTGGCTTTGCAGGACCTCAAGCAACTCAAGGAATGGACTAAAGCTGTGCCTGCTTTGGTCGAGGAGGAAGCTCTTCAGAAGCTCTGGCCCGGTGATTCCGAGATCTTCCAGGACGAGCTGGCACGAGCAGAAGACCAAGGGCTTCTCTACAAGAAATACTTGGAGTTTCCTGACAGCAGACAGATACTGGAAAGGTTTCGCCTTAAGTTTCTGGCATAACACGTGTTTTTCGAACTTTTTTCTTTCAAGCCTATGTTTTCGAACCTGGTTCTGGTAACCTTGTTTTTGTAGTTTGTCTTTCACTCATGAGAAAGGTTGGGCGATCCAGACGTCCGGCCAAGCAACAACGGCTTGCTGTTCTGCAACTGCTCCTATGCCAAGTTTGACCTGCAACTCTATCCTTTGGGGCAGCTGCAAAAGGTGCAGAAGCCTCGCCCCCAGGATGTTGTCATCCAGAAAAAAGGAATGAAGCATGACTGCTACGTTGTTTCGCCCGTTCGCTGGGACATCCAGAAATCATCCGGTTACTTTTGCCCGTACTGGATGATCAAGGAAGCAACGGAGAGCCAAACGGCTACCCTCACCAGAACCACGAAGAAGATCGGCGACATGGTGGTGCCTGTTTACCAGAACAAGGTTGCATTGAAGATGGGCGACCAGCTGCTCCTGGAGCCGAAGACGGAGGCTTCTGGCAGTGGCAAGAGAAAGCGCCATTAGATGATTTACTTTACACGTGTTTTCCGTCGGCAGATCTCCAGCACAGTGGATGTGCAGGAGATTCGCTTCGCTTTTGGCGCCCACGAAGATTTACAGACCATTCCCAGCAGACGAGAGAAATTTTTTCGCTTCGGGTCATGTATACAGAGGCTTCCAAAGTCAAACCCGCTGCAGCAGCTCATGTGCAAGCTTCCAAAGTCATCCTTCTCACACTTCCTGCCTCAGCCCTGACAGGCTTCTGTATTCGTGCCTCTGCAGCTTCTTCTGCCTGCAAGGTTTGGCTCGGCAGCATGCAGGTCACTCGGCAAGTCATTCTGCAGTACAAGGGCGGCCCCAAGGTCCCTGTTTCCGAGGGCCTGGTGCATGTGGCGGACAATGGCCAGCAATATCTTCGGTTCAGGCCGAGCAGCACGAGTCTGGCGAGAGCGGTGCTGGGGCACATGGAGAAGTTCAAATCCCTGAAAAACCCAAGCTTGAGCTGCAGCCCACAAGTGTCGCAGATCCGGGAAACGGTGAAGGCCAAGATCCTGGAGATGGGAAGCAAGGAGCAGAATCCGGATGGCAGTGAGAGGGACAATTTGTTCGATGCTCCTGTTGTCCATGAAGAGGAGGATTCGGCCAATGAAGTCACCGCCCGAAAGCTTCGCGAAGCTTTGGAGAGAGCACCAGATGTTATGAAGATAGATCTCGGTGGCAAGCAGGTGGAGGTCTTGAAGCCCAGGAATTGGCGAGAAACAGACATCTTGGTCAAGCTCGAAGAGTCCGACCTTGAGCATGTCTTCGATTTCCTCATGGTCGATGTGGACTCGGTGTACGAGAAGCCAAAGCGACCTTACGTCCGATCTGGCAGGTTTGCGGGCAAAAGGAAAGCCGATGAGGACGACAAGCAGAGCGATTCCGGCTGAGAAGACCTTGGCTGCATGAAATCTGGCGGGCCGTGCGAAAAGGAGTGTGCAGAGGCAGCTTCCAGCCCGTGCAGGCTTCGGAGTTCAGCCTTTGAAGGCTCTTGCTGTGTTTATAGAAGTTTCAAGGAGCCTGTGAAGGCTGTGTGTGCATCGTGCAAGAGCCTGTGAAGGCTGCAGGAGTAGTAGCAGGAGCCTGTGAAGGCTACAGTATAGGAGTTTAAATGAGCCTTTGCAGGCTACAGCAATGCATGCATGTGGGGTGAGAAGAGCAAAGAGCCTGTGGAGGCTGCAGGAGTAGTAGCAGGAGCCTGTGAAGGCTACAGTACAGAAGCTTAACTGAGCCTTTGCAGGCTACAGCAATGCATGCATGTGTGGTTGGAAAGACACCCATATTCTTGCAGGTGCACCCTCTCAAGCATGGCGGGATGGGATTGGCGGGACTGGGCGGTGGATGAAGACCCCAACGAGGCCCGGGTGGTTTCGTCATGCTGCGACACTACAAGCATGACTTTCGAAGCTGGCAATAAATTTGCTGGTTTGCTTTTCGCATAGAGTATGATGGATGCATGCAGGCGCCATGGAAGCGAATGAAGTACTCCTCCGAGCAGGCCGTGGTCGGTTTCTTTCGGAGCCCTTACAGGCTGTTGCTTCCTAGGCTTTGTACAGCATCCTCCCCATGCCTGATTCGGCAGGTGAGACAAAGCCTGGTGCATGCGGTTGCCAATGCCGTGGCTCCACCGACTGGGGAGCCTGCTAGTGCAGCTGCTGCAGCTGCAACACTGCAAGCGCCAGGGACAGCAGCAGGCAGGGCCAAGAAGCTGCCCACGGGACCTCTGCATCAGCAGTGGCAGCAGCAGCCAATGCAGCAGGAGCAAGCCGACAGGCTCCCTGCGGAGCAGATGCAGTGGCAGCAGCAGCAAATGCCACAGGAGCAAGCTCAGAGGCTTCCTGTAGAGCAGATGCACTGGCAGCAGGAGCAAGCTCAGAGGCTTCCTGTAGAGCAGATGCACTGGCAGCAGGAGCCAGCTCAGAGGCTTCCTGTGGAGCAGACGCAGTGGCAGCAGGAGCAACCTCAGAGGCTTCCTGTGGAGCAGACGCAGTGGCAGCAGCAGCAGCAGCAACACATGCACCACATGCATCAGGACCAAGCTCACTGTGGAGCCTCAGCTGCAGCAGCCGCCGCCCCAACAGCAGGTACTTCTACCTGGCACAGCTGTCGGCGGAAGTCAGCTTCCTTCAGGTTCTGCATCTCCTGGTTTGGTGAATGAGGAGGCCTCGGGCTCGGGACAGCATGGACGGCCTGATCAGCCGCCCGACGAAGGATGGTCTTCTGTTCCTGAGCAACCTGCAGACTACCAGCAGTCCTGGGAGGACAAATGGACGGCAGCTGGTTGGATCCAGGACGACGACAACCCGCGATATGGGTGGCAACGATGGAAGCAGCCAGATTCTCGTTCGCATGGGCAGATGGGCTAATTTCTTGGAGGGTTGCAGGGTTGAGGGATCCACATATATGCAGCGACAAGCCCAGGTCGAGGGCAACCAGAACCGGTCTGGATGGGCGACGAAGATGGCCGTGATCTGCCACAGGTTCCAGACTGGGCAGGTGGACTCTCTGAAGCGGGACCTCCGCCGCATCAGCGAGCACCCTGGGCTGCAGGCTCCCATGCGGGACTTGAAGAGGATGCTGAGAGAGCGGGGAGACGATGCCTATCGCTACTACCTGTCTTGATGGACCATGCTGAAGCAGTGGCGAGTGAAAAAGAGACCGAGTTTGAGTGGAGGGAGCCCTTGCAGGCTGCATGGAAACTTTTTTGTAGCAGCTACATAGGAAGCCTGTGCAGG